TGAGGATCTGTTTTTGCAGAATTTATCTTCCTTGCCAAAGTAGAACTCCTGGGCAAAGAATAACTGCCCTATAGCCAAAACCAGTGTCTGCTGTCTTTCCAGTTCTCTGGCTGTGGAGAGCTTGACAGTTGGGTTCTAATTTCTCTCTTCCTAGCATCTCCCACGTTTACTCTCCAAGTTCTGCTGGTTTTTGGTGCATTTGCCTCTCCAATCGCACCTTTGCTCTCTGCTCCACACGACACCCAATTTCTGTCCCTCTTGCCTCTCCTGAACACTCAGAGCTTCAATTGCCTCCTTACCTCTGACAACTCGATCTATTGCTGCCAGGGTGGTTCACCTCGAACACCTGTCCCCTTGTGGCTTTGGCTTCATGCCCAATAGTTTCTATGATGCACACCTGTGTGCATAGCGCCCTTCTCCCAGAGCTGCACAAACTGTCTTCCCAGCACAACCTGCAGCTCTTCCAGCAAGTCCAGCTGCCGGACACTGGCCATGATTCGCTCACATTGGCCTTTCCCGCACCAGTATCGGCTCAGAAGCCATCACAGCTCACAACTGCAAGAAGTGTTCTCTGAGTAATATGGTGGAGACCATCCCATACATGGCCCGACCCCAGGACCGTGCTGGTGCACAGTGGCTGTGCGGGGACGCCACCCACCACAGCCCTCATCCTCTCAGCAGTTGTCCCTGTCTTCGCACCACTGGAGTGCTGCACTCGTTCTTCAATATTTTTCTACGCTATTGAGGCTCACCCTGTTGTAGAATTGTTTTCTGGGTGCTAACCTTGCTTCCTCCTCTAGCCTAGACACCAAGGACTGATATCTAATTTGCAGTTGGTATCAGTATGTGCAAGAATATGCCCCAAATGTATTTCAGAGCCACCTGTTTTGCCTGACTTCCTGTTGCCTCTGAGTGGCATCTGGAGAATAGGTGGCTTCATCTTGCTTCAGCTGTCCCAGCATGAAGAGACCTGCACTTATCAGCGAAATGAACACAGTGGGAGGTGGCTGGCACCTTTCTTCATTTTCCCCAAGGGAATATTTGACAAACGCAGGCATGGTTCAGTGCTTCTCCCCTGACAGGAACGCTGTCAAAATATCCGATGTTGTCTAGCCTCAAAGTCACTGTATCGGGCAGAAAAACAGTGATTGATCTCATTGTTAAACTCTCTTTCTTGCTTATTGGCATGACAACGGAGCTAAAAAAGAGCCAAGATGAATTATGAACCTATTTTTGGCAACTCCTTATGGAATTCACGCACACTGTGTATTTTGCATCATTCGAATCCTCGGGCACACTCAGAACTCGGAAGCAAACATTCATTTGTAAATGTTACAGCTAAGGTTGGCCGGATGCTCTGTCGGGTGACGTATTAACTCTCACAAGGCTGCTTTGGAAACGGGAGGAAAATTTTGAGCTGAGTTTTGGGCAGAGGGGGAGACATGCTTACCTTTACCCTGTCCATGCAGGCCTCCATCTTCAGCTGCTCCACGGCTTTCCGGGCTTGGGAGATGCTCGTGGTGCTGTTATTGGACATGCCTTCTTTCATTCTGCTGCCCCTGGAAGCAACCAAACTCAAAGGGTTAGAAGTGCTGCTTTTCCAGCGGTGAGGCAGGACTTTCCCCAACCTTTCCCCATCTCCCACGTCCTACAGCTTCTCTGTGGAAGCCGGGGAGCGTCTGGAAGCGTTTGGTAGAAAACCCTAGTGGGACGAGAGAAGGGCACACTTCACTAGAGTGAGGGGAGCAAGGGAGACATATGTTTTTGTTTGGAAAGACTTTCTCAGTCCTGGGAAGAATGAGAACAGATGGTCCCGGAGTGAATTCTTCACCACAACCACCTCCACCATAAGGCACACCTGGACATTTGTAAGGTAATCAATCATTTTCACACACGCTTGTTCATTCCTCTAGTAGCCCATAAAGTTGACAGGACAGTATTACTTTTTGTTTTGTAAATGAGGAACGTGCAAAAATCTGAGCAATCAAGCCAACAGCCAAAGGTTTAACAGCCAACATTTATGGATCCAGAGCCCAAACTCAAAGCTTTAAGGCCTGGCTGAGCATCCTTCCCATGTTTCCAAAAGCCTCTCCTAGCAATCTACAGCTCCAATGAATGCAATTGCTTTATTATTTATTTTAATTTGCTGGACTTCCGAAAAGTTTACAGACTTTAGGTTGGGAG